TCGAACACAGTAGCTCCATTGGTTTTTTTTCAAAAATTTACATAAAATATTAATTAACAATTAAAGAAAACTTTAAAAATTTCAAACATAGTAACACACTGTCCAAAGTGTCCAGACCGCAAAATTAATTTTGAAACACTATCAATAGAGTCTACGATACGATTTTGCAAGAAATATCTACAAATTTAATGTATGTACAAGTATGTAAAAAATAAAAATTTACTTTGAGCCTTGGAGTTACAGTGAGTTGGTGACTCAGTGAAGCAGAATTGCAGAGGGCTGATTAGCTGAAGGGCGAGGCTGAGGTGAGGTTTGACCGTTTGAGGATGCATGTGAGGACTGGGGAGTGACTAGCGAGGGAGGAGGTCGGAGGGCATGGCCGCATGAGGGAACAAGGCTGCGAGGGTGGAGGCCGAAAGGCGTGAGGGAGTTACTGCCTGTCTGTCGGACCGGCGTGTCGTTGAGGGTGGAGGGCGGAGGGCAGAGGGCGTTAGGCATAGAGGGAGTGAGAGACGAGGGAGAACCAGAGAAGTGAAGAATCATCGTCTATGGATGTGGAGTGGAGAAGCAGAACAGGAAATCTGAATCGTATCCTAAGTCATCACTACATCCCAAATTATTCTATGGACCCAGGTCTAAATGTTAACAATTTATCTTTTAAAAATTTACAATTTGTATACTACGAATACACAATGTTAACATATATGTAATTGATTATATTGTTTTGTATTCACAAGTTCCTTTCAAATATTATAGTCACATAATATTAATAGATTATATTTGATGACTTGTATTGTATTCACAAATTCCCTTCTACCGCTATTATGTATTTTGACTTAAAAACACAATTTATATTCTAAAAGTGCACAATTCATTACTAAAAATATACAATTTATACGTCTTTTACTACCAAAGTTCACTTAGGTGGACCTTTGTCCATGGTATAACAACTCATTTTAAACACTAAATTGAATAAACCTTTTTGGATCGAAAATTTCGTTTGGGCTTACCAATTAACTAGGCTTGATTAGGAAGAATTGGTCTGGGCTTTTGCCCAATTTACTTCACAAAGAATTTCAATCTTCCACCAATCATTTGTCTGTAGCTGAAAGAAAAGTGAAATACGACCCGTCTCCAACCTCGCTATCAAACAACTTCGAAGACTGGAAGATCAATTTCAACTCCAACGAAAGTAAGCCATCTCTCTTTCCATATGCATGTGAAGGTGTAGATATATATTTTCCATTTTTATACATACAGGTTTGTGTGTATCTGTTGATATAGAGGATATACTGTATTCGTACATATTGCGTGAGAAGAAATCTATTTGTTTTGCTTGATGAGATTTTCGCCAAGAACCGAAGTAGAGAAATTGAAATTATTTATTGTGTTTATGGATGAGTTCATGAAGCACAAAAATTGACTTTAAGAAATTGAAAAAAATGTTGAATTGATGATCGGAAATCAATGGTATAGCCATTCAAATGAGATCATAATGCAAACCTATAAAATGAGAAGAGTTAGTGTATAATTTTATTTATGTGATTTGACAATAAATGTTACTTGAACTGAGTAATCGTAACCAACAGTTAAAATGGAATGTTTGTTTGTTTGAGTTAGTGTCATTATCATGTTTAAGATGGTATCCATTGAATAGTACAGGCCAGGATTTGCACTAATATCCTTTACTTTAACAAACTGCTCTGGTTGGACATATTTTTTTCTGTGATCAGTAATTACTATGTTTTTGCTAAACCATAGAAAAACAACCGTTTTAGTGGGTTTGCTTTCTCAAAAACTTTTCAGGCAGGATTAGTTTTTGGAGACATTGAGGCTGGTTCCTGTTTGGAATGGCTAATGATGATGATTTCACATTTTGTCAGGTGAGTTCTTTTAAGCTTGACAAGTTTGACGGACAGTGGATTTTAGATACTGTTTGTTGACCTCGTATCAACTTTTCTCATAACATTGTTGTAAGATCAATGTCAGCTTGTATAGTTTCTATTCCTCTCTCCCTGTTAATTAAAAGGTTGTTTACTGTAATAGGTTGCTGGCCCAAATTACCAAGAGGGTACTGAAGCAGAAAAGGTTGTTCAAGATATAAATGGAATCACAATAGAAGACAACCCGTCAAATTGTGTTGCTGCTAGCCAGAGTAATGGTGACTTTTGGCAGGACAAATTGCCAAGTACTGCTACCTCAAACAAGCAGGGGACAGTTGGTTCTTTATCTTTCAACGTTATAGACACTTCTCAAAAACAAGTGAGTGGAAGTTCTAGCCAAGGAGCATCAGGAAACACTAAGACTCCAGTTAAAGCTTCACAGGGGCCAATAAGTTCTGCAAGGAAGCCTGCACCTCGAGCAAAAGTGCCTTTTGAGAAAGGGTATAGCCAGATGGACTGGCTTAAGCTTACAACAACACACCCTGACCTTGCAGGTATGAGTCTTCGTGAAATGTTTTTGTTCCATGTCAAAACTTTTTCATGCTTTCTCTCATTCTGCTGAAATACATGTGAGTCAGATTGTTTTTCGCTTTATTTTATATGGAAAAGTATCTTGTGTTTCTTGTTCTTTTTTTTATTATTTATACTTGTTTACATGTGCTGTTTATCTTATGTACCTATGAGAAGTTCTGTATGTTATATGGTTTTTTCTTACATAGTTAGACATCTGAGGGTTTGTCTCCCTAGAAAGAGAAATATTAGTCCCATAACAAATGAAAATATAAAATCTTAACAATTTTTTGTTTTGTCTAACTACAGTAAAAATGCTAAAAATTTTGAATCCCATAAATGAACAAAATTTGGATGATCAATTTCTGTTTTATAAAGTATCATGCTGGTATTCTAAGAAACATGATTTTTGGTGCTTGTGTTGTCAACCTATGAGGCTATGATGGCTTTGATCTCTATGCGTTGATTCATATTCCAGTCCTTCACTTTCTTAACCTCAGGACTGAGAGGGCTTTCAAATAGACGACTCATATCTATAAATGAAGTTAAACAGCACCAAAATGAGGGTTCAATGTGGACTGTTCTTAAAGGCCGTGTTTACAATGTATCACCATATATGAAATTTCATCCAGGAGGTATGCGTCATTATTTATTGTCCAATGTTGTAGCAGTAATATGAACAATTTCCCTTCATTTTCTCAGCTTCTGCTGCTAGTTGTTGCAAATTTGTTGGTGGGTAGATGGATCTCTCCTTATCAGATTTATGTTAATTTTTTTTATAAATTTCACACAGAATTAAAGTTCAAAAATTTTTCTAAGTTGTAGCAGAAAGTGAACTGTCAATCTTGAGTGGATTGCTCTACTGCAGTATTTTTTTTTGGCCAGACCACGAGGTGTCCTGAGCAGGCCCTAAGTGTAAGAGGCACCTTTAAGCCCGTACCATACTTAGACTAATCCCTGTCTGCACCGGGCCGGCCCAATTAAGGGGCAAAGTGCTGGCCAGATTGGTTTTTCCATATGAGAGGGGGTTCGAACTCCCGACCTCTCTTAAGGGACAAGAGTGCACGGCCACTTACGCCAACCAAGCTGGTTTGCTATACTGTAGTATTGGTACTGCAAAAATCCACTTCTCTACTCCATTGCTTAAAGTTTCAGGCTTTCAGCATCAGCTAGGCCTTAGTTTTTAGCGTGGCTATTGTTAATTACAGTTTAATAACTAAAAGTTGACATTTTCTTGTGCAATATTATTCCTCAGGTGTTGACATGCTGATGAAGGCTGTTGGAAAAGATTGCACAGCTTTATTCAGTATCCTTTGCTAGAATTTGGAAGTGTCAGTAGTTCTCTTTGCAATATTAGAATGTCTGAACCTGATAGCAAACTAGTTGAATAAGTCATGAGAATAGCCTTTTTATTTGATCACATTCCTTTACCTTAACTCAATGAATTAGTCAATGAAAACAAGGTTCTAAAATGAATGACATAAAATGATATCTGCATCCCATGCTATCACCAATAGATGATTCAAATGTCTTATTACTGCCTGAAACAAAACATTAGTGCTGCGTTGTACTTTACCTGCTGGTTTCTAATTCACTTGAAAACTCAACTTATAAGCTTAAGATTATTTGATTTAATTGATTTCAATTTAAAGACGATTCAGGGTAATTTGGTTACCAACTTAGCATAGAAGGTACAATTTGGAGTGGACTTGTTCTGCACTTAAAACTTTATAGTTGTTATGATATGGGTCCCTAACTCCATATCTAAATGAAGAAGCTAAATTTTCTAGAGTACTCTGTCTGTAAAGAAAAAAAAAAGGGGACCCTATTAAACTTTTTAATCTCTATAAATATCAATTGTAATATGAGTATGTAAATGTGTCTACTAGAGGTCTGTATAAATTGCAAATATTGGTGTTGCGTTCTAATGCTCTCTAACAATTGCTCATTGTCTCTAACAGTTGCAATCCTTAGTACTTCTGTTAGATAAATACCATGCCTGGGTTAATGCAGAATTTTTATTGGAGAAGTGTCTTGTTGGCATTCTAGATGAGAGCCAGTGAAGATGTTTGTATTACAAGATTCAAGTATGATTCTCAGCAAAAAGTATAATCATCTCCAGCATTCTGACCTTGAAGAGAAGGCATATTTATCTTCTTTAAATAAAGGCCTTAAATTGTTTGCCTTATTCGCTGTGAAAAATAAAATGTTGGCAGAAGAATCTACAATTTGGTTTTTAGATAAAAACCCTAAGAATGGGAATTGTTGTGCTAGTTCATTTCATTTTAATATGAGGAAAAATAGAAAAAGATAAGAAAAGAAAATGAAAAACAAAGAAACAACTTCTTGAAGTGTTGTACAACTATTGCTGCTCTTGGAATTTGCTAATGTAAGTTTATCTGCTCATGGCATTTCTTGACATGAATTGGATTTTGTAGTGGTGCTTCTGTCTTGTTCTTTGATCAACTGTGTTTTTGTGTGTGATAAGCTAATCTTTTTTAATGCTTTTAGAGTGAAAAAATAGTACCTTGATAAGAAATGCAGAATAGAAAATATTTTCAGGAAGGTGCACTAGTGGAAATGACAATCTATAGAAGCTATGCTGCGATGAGGTAAGACTATATACAAGTTCATAAAGTAATGCTTATAGGTTAGTGTCAAGCAGATGGCCATTTATTTATACTATGATTTTACATGCTTATTGTGCAAACTTGATTCTTTTGATTTCTTCCATTCTAAATTTTAGTTTAAGCAATTACAAAGTTGCAACATGTACCTCAGTGTTCATTTCTCACGTGAGGTGTAAATGAAAAGTTCATATGACCATTACAAACTGGCTGTATAGTTCTGAGGATGATAAACCTAAGCAACAGGGGATACTTTAACTTCATCAATAATAGGACCACAAAGAGTTCCAAAGTTGTTCATCCTAGTATGATAGAAGGAACTGAAGAATGTTAATCTAGTCCTAATGCCTAACGCTGTAAACTTGAACCTTATGGTCTTGAAATTGCCCTTTCCTACAGATGTGAATGGAACTTTGAAGGCATGCGTTCCTACAAATGCTTCAACCATCATGTCTCCATGGCAATCGTTTTTTGCATCTCCTACAGTGAATGTAAGGATGTAGTTCTTCTTCGGGAGTGTTCGGATGATTTGTGCAATGGCACTCTCTTTCCCTGCTACTAATTCTATGGCTGCACGGCCAAAGGGGACTTGGAAGTGTACTCTGTCGATGTACTTGACAGCTTTTAGTGATTCGATGATCCAGCCTGGAAGTGGGGATTCTACATCTTCTGTCTTCGGGGGGATTAGGATACCATCTGATGCATTTCTTAGACGGTGAGGGCCCTCCTCAAAACCACCATTCTTGACCAAGTTATCTGCAAGAAGTCCAGAAAATTATCAGAAACATAGAATCAGAAAATTTGGGAGAAGCACAAGGCAAATAGGTTGTTGAAAAGTGAATTATACTTCTAGTGAGCCGTGGAGGCAAAAGTTCTTTGATAGCAATAGCATCTATAAGTGGGCCACAAGCAGGATCTTCTTCCATTCCAGGATTGTGTAAGATCACCTTTGCAAAGTTGGAAGTGGCTCTGAAGGCCCAACCATAAACATCACCGCCATTGCTACTATACACAGTCTGCATAGGAATGTCCCCAGATGCTGGTGGCAGTGAGACCCTCAGCACCTCTTGTTGTGCACAGGTTCTCGAGGCTGCAAATGTGAGTGCATACAGAGTCCCCTTCTTCACCCGGATTGTCTGAGAAATTGAGGCCTCATTCCCAAGCTTAACAGCATGGATGCCGTTTGACACCGGAAAGTACATCCCGCCCGGCTGCAGCCCACCAGAGATGTACTCAACAAGTCCAGAGGTTTCCCATTTGGGTAAGGCATATTTCCCTTGAATTACTGTATGCTTGACATTAGTTGGCTTTGGTTGCTTTTCGAAGTTTCCATTTGGTAGAAAACCTATATAAAGAAAAATAAATCATAAATAAAAGCCAAATGAATGTAGTTCTTTTAGGACTTGGGAGTCTATTTTTTTTTAACCTGGAACACTGGAGGATTATGAACCCAAGATTAAGTTCATTTTTTTACTAGCAGTTCAATATTTGGTTTTGTTCGGGGAATCGGAGATTAAGTATAGTTGAGATTACCTTCAAGAGGAGCTTTAAGAGCAGAAACTGTGAAGAGTAAGCAGAAAAAAAGCATTAGAGAAATCTTCACTACCATCTTGTAGGCTTGCAGCACCTAGAAGGTGAACAAAACACAGAACCTACAAGTCTGGATAGAAAGGATGAAAGATTAGCAGTAGGGCTTAATTCTTCTACCTACATTTATACACTAGTCTCCAACTCTCCATGGGGGGGAAGAGAGAGAAAGATGGAAACTATGGAGGAAGGGGAAGGGAACAAGAACATAATGAACCACCCTGTATCTTTCGTTATTGTTTTCTGTTTGTCTCCAATGGGTTCCCTGATCTAGAAACCCACTCTTTCTCCATAATCCATGCTGCATACTTTCTTTCTTTAATAGGAGAAACCACTAAACCTGGATGTATTTAGACTGATATAGCCATAAACAAATCCTAATAAGAATATTAGCGTTAGCGAGAGTTAAGTTATACTAGTTAGAACACCTTGCTGTTAGCTAACTGCTATTGGTTTTAATATCTTTTAGAGATCTATTTATTTACAAACTCTGAATATGTTTATGCCATAGGCATTCAAACCAATGGCTTGAAGATGAATACTAGTATACTAGTATGTGTGACGTTTTATGAATTTAATTAGGTCAGGTAGTGATGTGTGTTTCCCTCCACATCCAGGCCCAATAGAGTATTTAGGAGGATGTAAATCACGGTAACTCAGTGGCTCAGTAAATAGGGCTAAATGCCGGTGCAAACAAGGGATCTGCTTACTTTGGGTATAACCCTGACATTGCCGCTGTTGAGTTTTGAACCTTAATCTCTTTTCCTGAATACTGCCTATTGAACTAGCGAGCTAAGCCTTTGTGAGCGTGAGAAGACCTTAATCATTAGGGTAAGTCATGGATATTGAAGTTGTGACTGACTGACTGTGGTCATTGATGAAGATGCAATGGCAGGATTAAGAGATAGTAGGACACAGATTGCTGTGATAATCCAGGGCCAATATCTGATTTTGGCGTCAGGGACTCGTAGATTACTTTAAGATTGTAAGAACATATATACAATAGTTTATTCTAGTTTTCTGTCGGTCCTAATAACAAAATTAGCATTTTTCATTAGCCAAAATCTGAGTTGTTGCCGTGTTTTTCTCTTTGCCCACGTGTGCTCGTGGCTTTTTCTTGCCCATCTGTCATCCGTTTAATAAAAAAAATTTCTATACAAATCAAACTTATTTAAATTTTGCATTCAGTTCTCAGTTATAGGAAAATAGTAGATCTAATTTCTATGATATAGGTGTTATCACTTTACGGTGTGTTTGGTTGGAAGGAAGGAATTTGGGGGAAAAATGAATTATAATTTGGTGGGAATAAATTAGGAATTCAAATTACATTGTTTGGTAGGGACGAATAGTATTATTGGAAATGAGAAAGGAAGAAGTGGTATAAAGACTAAAATATCCTTGAGTAATAATAATATTAATAATAATCAAGAGTAAACAAGTTTTTTTTTTTTTTTTTTTTTTTCGTTTTTCCCTTTCTTTTCCCCCATTGAATTGCAATTCATATGAGGGAATGTATGAATTGCAATTCTCTCCCACCAAACACTGTAATTCGAATGGCCAAAGAATTATGTTGTAATTGAATTGTAACTACATCCAACCAAACAGTTTTCGAGTTGTTAATAAAACGACATTTTCAATCCGATTTTGTTAGAATTTATTTATTATGAGAAACTCTAGTTGATCAAGGTTATCAATGAAATTATACATCTTATTTCTCTTTTCTTTTTAAATTACATTAACTCCATAGGACCATACCATAATGGTCAAAGAAAAGCAAAAATATAAATTACTAACATCCATTAGACTGATTGGAAATTCTTTTTTTTTTTTTTTTTTTAAGTGTAATTAAGATTAGTGAAATTTCATTAGTAGTTTTGATCAATTAGAGTTTTCAAATAGTAACATAAAATTGTAATAGATTCATCAACAGAGAAATCAGATACACCATCACTAATAACTTGGGACAAAAAGTAGTGTTGACTATAATATAGAGATTCATTCCACTATTATTCTATATACTAGTCTTTTCTATGTGATGCCCAAAAATATATGCCCAATATTTATATCTTTTAAAATAACTAACAAATTCTTACTAATTAAAATCTAGGAAAAATTATAATTTATGCCCCTCACAAATATGTCAATTATCAATGTTACCACTGAATTATTAGTGGTGTAAATGTTGTCCCTCAATTTTCAAAATGTGACATATATTGCCCCTCCCCTGAATTATTAGTGATGTAAATGTGATTTTCACGTCATCTTTCTTGCTCGAAGACCATGCTTTTTTTTCTCAATTTTTCTTTCTTCGATTGTTCTCCTTCCGTTGACAACAATTTTTCTCCTTCTTCATATTAGGGGAGGGGCAATATATGTCACGTTTTAAAAATTGAGGGGCAACATTTACACCACTCATAATTCAGGTGTGACATTGATAATTGACATATTTGTGAGGGGCATAAATTACAATTTTTCTTAAAATCTATATGAAATCAAATTTTTTTATTATAATAATCCAATATATAATATCTACAAATATTATTATTATTAAAGAATGTATAAGAAAATATATGGTGGATGCATGTACATGATAACAATAGTGGAAAAGATAACGAAAGTTATAATGGTAGGGATATTTTTGTTCAAAAATTTATATAGTATAACTCTAAAAGCATAATGCACAAAATGATTAGCATTAAAAACATGGACATAAATGAGGGATATAATTTTGATTGAGACTTATTATGTTTTTAGATTTAGATTAGATAAGATTATATCTCAAATTGCGATTTGTTTTAAATAAAAAACATAGAAGAAATAGATGTAAGTGTCAATAGTTTATTGTATGGAGATTGGAGGGAATCTTGCTGACCTCTTAATAGTGGACAGGGTTCATATTCCTACGTCTTGAATTTCTTGATGACTTGATACCTTAATTGCAGCTTAAGTACGATATACTGTGCAAGGCATCAAAGGACTTGTAATATTAGGGAGTCAATTTCATTTTTGGTCCATAATATGGTTCACTTTTAGTTTTTTTTTTTTTAAAAGACACATTTGAATCTCACTTACCCTGACAATGCCACTTTTGTTCCCCTATACCTCTAAATCTCTAATGGGGAGTTTAGTTGGATGTAATTGGAATTCTTTTTCTACTTTATTTTACAGTAATGTAAATTACAATATTTGGTTGGAGGGAATTGTATTTTTTTTTTTTTTTTTGAATTGCAATTCATGGGGCAATTCAATACTTGTAATAAAGGGAAAAAGGGATGAAATGACAAAAAGTACCTTTAGTAGTAGTTGCTGCTGTTGCTGCACAAGGACATTTTAGCCTTTATACCACTTCTTTCCTTTTCATTCTCAATAATTCTAATCCTCCCTACCAAATAATATAATTTGAATTCCTACATTATTTCAACCTTTTTTTTTTTTTTCACCGACTTGCAATTCCTTTCCTCCCTAATTCCTTCCTCCCAACCAGGGACGGAGGAAGTATGGGCAATGGGGGCAGTTGCCCCCACTCCCCCCCCCCCCCCCACCCCACATCACCCAACCTCACCCAACCCCTTTATATATATGTATGTATATAATGTTAATATAATGTTAAATGTTATATAAAATTTATATTTATGTTATAATTATTAATAGTTAGAGTAGCTTAGTTGGTTGAACTCCAAATTTGATGTTATTAATAAAATTAATAAAAAGTGTATTGTCATAGGTTCAAATCTCATTAAAAACACTTTTCTTATTTATTTTATCTCTTTCATTCATTCCCAAAATAAATATTTTTTTAGCCTACTTTTATTAATCATATTTTGTCATAACTATTTTTACATTTTCACCCCACTCAAATATATTTTTGGCTCTGACTCTAATTATCGTTTAATCTATCAAAAACATTCTATTGTAATTTATAATATATTTTGTATTTTAATCTTATTATTATGACTGTTTGATATTTTTGTAATTAATATTTCTAACGTCATTTAAGTTTCGCCCCCACTCAAATATTTTTCTGGCTCCGTCCCTGGTGGCAAGCATGCCAGGATCACGACATGTGCTCTCTGCTGACCCTTATAAATAGCACATTTATTGCTTGGAGGAGGGGACTTTTAGATTTTGACCTAACCCATAATAGCTCGAGAGTCTCCGACCTACTGTCATTCATTCCCGAGCTCGCTTACTAAGCGCTACGTAAATTTAATCATATAACCAAGCGTATTTACCACATCAGATACACTCAAGGGAAATTAATAAAACAAAAAAAGATTGAGTTGGAATATGTTCCAACAAAGAAACAACTAGCTAAGTTTTTTACAAAACCCCTTGATGTAAATCGTTTTAAAACATTAAGATATGCGCAGGAACGGGACCAGAAAAATATTTAAGTGGGGGAGAAATTTAAATGACGTTAGAAATATCAATTACAAAAATATCAAACAATCATAATAAGATTAAAATACAAATATATTATAAATTACAATAGAATATTTTTGATAGATTAAACGATAATTAGAGTCGGAGCCAAAAATATATTTGAGTGGGGGTGAAAATGTAAAAATAGTTATGACAAAATATGATTCATAAAAGTAGGCTAAAAAAATATTTATCTTGGGAATGAATGAAAGAGATAAAATAAATAAGTAACGATAAAGTGTTTTTAATAAGATTTGAACCTATGACAATACACTTTTTAACATCAAATTTGGAGTTCAACCAACTAAGCTACTCTAACTATTAATAATAATTATAACATAAATATAAAATTTACATAACATTTAACGTTATATATGTCGATATATACATACATATATATATAAAGGGGTGGGGTGGGGGGAGTGGGGGCAGCTGCATCCGTCTCTGCTTGCCACACGTTTCACATGCATTCGGTGGGATCGGGGACCATGCAGATTGGCCCACGTGCTACAATATGCCCAACAGGTTTAAGCTGACGCGCTCGGTTATTGTCCCCTAATTCCTGTTTTCTAATACGAAGGGTTATCTGCTCGGGATGCAGGGTTAAGAACCTCGATCGAGCTGGAGACATGCTATGTTATAGCTCGCCTAATCGCTTGCAAATCCACCTTTCTACTCGGGTTGGATTGGACCATTGAATAGGGCCAGGAATCGTTCTTTACGCAACGAGGAGTACATACCAACCAGCTATACGACTATATGCCCTAGGTATATTTCCCATCAAGTAGCCCCCTAGTCCGTGCCCCGACGCTAAGCTATTTCAAAAAGACTTAGACTAAAAATCCAACCAAAACCATTAATCTAGAGATTTTCATCGGGCCTGGATTGTATGCGGCACGAGTCTATGATAGTGCACACAGATCACCGCCCAAGTTATTTTTATAGACACGTGTCGCGCCTTCGTTGATCACCTAGGGATCCGTTCTAAAATTTTCAAAATTTCCTGTCTGTTTTGTTTATAAATACGACGTTGTTTGGGTC